CGGAGCTCCAGAGCGCAACCCAAGCCTCAGCCTCTGCCCTCGGCGCCTGCGCCGGCGGGTTCCCAGGTTTCTGGCGCACCCTCGAGATGAAGGTTCTGGGTCTGCAAAAGGCTCTACGGTGGGCAGTCTTTATTATTGTTTTCCCCTATTTCCTAAGACGTTGTGCTTTGGATGGAGGGAGCAGCTTCACACAAGTTCAGCTCATTTCACGCTGGCCATAAGCTACCAAGGTCAGGTGGTGACTTTTCGCCCACTTGTGCAAGACCTATTGGTTCCTGTCCACTCCGCTTTTGGCTTTTTATCAGGAGGGCTGCAGTCCTCAGGAGATGATTTAGGGGAATGCTGTCCAGGCCCAGGTAGAGATGACATCCGTTGCCGACAGAGACTTCTGCATAAAAACACTCTTTGAATGTTTTAAAACACTCATTATGACCAGCAGACTTATCAAAGCGTTACTTGTCAGGCTGCGCAGACAGCAGCTCCGCCAGTCATCTGCATCTCGACCAGTTAACGACGTGTCTGTTCCCGAAGATATTAGCAAATCTTTCAAGAATGTGGCTGTCAGATGTCATTAGCCTATGCTTGTTCACCGAGCCATTTGCTTAACTGGTAGGAAGGCATGGCCACGGCATATATGCTTAGAATATTTGGAGGTGATGCGTGGGTGTTAGAGCTTGTCTCCTTTAACAACCAAATGTCCGTAGTTACGCCGACATTTACCAAAGGGCGGATTTAAAGAAACTGGGGCTGGAGAGTGGGGTACAGAGACTTGGGGAGAGGAGCTTCTCTTGAGAGGCCGACAACTCATTGAAAGGTAAGTCATGCTCATCCACTAGGGGTGCAAATTTTCAAGATCTGCTTGTGTATCACAGAGACTGGCATGGCTGATCCAGCCAAGACAATGATCCCTGACACTCACCACGTGAGCTCTGAGGTCCTGAGATCTAGGAGCTGACATCCACACCTTCAAAGAGGTCAGCCAGCATCTGATTGGAGGGAAGAGCTGATGGCTGCTCCTGTGGGCAGACTGAGACCGGTAAATCCAGTTTCTGGGGAGATAGGGATTTTAGGCAGTTTCTACACAGCCAGGAAAAGGGGCCCGGTAAGGCCTGTTCCAAGTGTCTGGGAAAATCCAAACCAGTACAAAGAAAATAAGCATAAAACCACACGAAACCTTAATGCTCCATTGGCTGCTAACACTCATCAAACAAGCAGCGAACCCCCTGCCCGTGCTAACTTTAAGATCAAAGCATCAGTCTTAGACCTAGATGATTTTTTTTCATAAATATACCATCCCTGACAAATGACTTTGCCAAGTGACTAGGTGAGATAACTTCTTTGGGGTATTGTAGTTTTAGGGTTCTTTACTGTTCCAATATTTCCATATCCAGACTAAACAAAAAACAGCCACAACAAAACAGTGCTTACCTATGTGCATTGTCTTTGCTGGGTAAGTCCCATGTCCGTGTGTTAAGGAAGAAAAAAAATCTTTGTATTCATTTTTATTTATATTTATTTATTTTCATTTCTTAGGTTTCAATGATCTTGGCTTTAAGATAGAACTCATTAGTTAGGCATGGAAACTATCAAGATTTGAGGCAAGGCTTATTCTTTTTTATAGGTTGTTTCACACATGGTAGTCTCCCGTTGGCTGTTTTGAAGATTGTAGGAGAGGGGCCATAGGCATGAGCTCTACTATCAACATGAATCCACTAAGTGATTCATTCACTTTTATGCTCAATTTAAATACTCTTTTTCTTCTACAGTGATAAGGGACAGTCAAGACCATAGTGCCAAATAATGCAAAGAAGGGCCAAACTGATCTGGGTCCCTGTGACCTTTCACCCTTCCTTTAATTCTCAGTAGTGAACATCTGTGTTTCGTGACTAGTGTCTGAAAGTAATAAAGATAATTAGAACTTTTTTTTTCTGGGAAAGGGGGTTTTGTGCCAGTGCAGAGAGCTT